TTTGTTTTTCCTGTCCACACACCACCCATACCCACCCCCCCATCTCCCGTTGGTGGGTAAGCTCCATGAATTTACTTTGCTTTATAAGATAAGGGCAGGCGCATAGGTAGTTACAGTGCATCTGCGCTGGTTTACTTTGTGCTAACCTACTTGTTTGTGTTTAACCAAGTAGTTCTATTCACAAGAATTTATGCTGCTCTTCATGATGAAGATGTATTAACTTATTTCAGACTGACTAAAGCTGTCATTTTTAACTGTAAAATGAACTGAAATTTGAAGTCTTACAATTTTTCAAGAATTTTGAGGAATCTCAGCACCTACTCATTTCACATGAGCTGCTGGTGCTAAATGCTCCTGAAGATTAGTCCAAGAATTCAGTCATGCAGAAATGTTGATGAAAGCACAGTGTGGTTTTTAAAAAGTATTTTTAGTGATGTTATCTAAAAGAGGTATGACATGAATCACTACCAAGAGACTATAGAGGCCCTAAAACAGGCATTGTTCATTGGTTTCCTTTTACAAGAGATACAAGTTAGTGATGCAGGCCGATTAAAACAAAAAGATTGACATGCTGCTTTAAAATTGCCTTGTTTGTGCAGTCCATAAAGTAAATAGATGAACTGTTGTTCTTACTTGCTTTATAGGGCTAGCTGTAAGTTTTTTTTTGTGTGTGTGTGTAGGTTACAATTTTAAAATACAAGAGCTTCCCTATAGTTAGAGTGTATGTATCCTTCAGATGCTCCGAAGGTACAGGTAAGCTGGACAATTATCTATCTTATGGGTCTGGAGTCCGTACAGTTAATTGTTTTCTTTTGTATCAGTGTTGTAGAAAGAAGTGTCCAAACACTGCATCATTGTCTTTCGTTGATACTTTTCATGCAGTTTAGGATGAGGATAAGTTGGATCTGATGGAGTTGAATGGCATGATCTTATTCATCACTGGACTGCAGTATTCTGCTTCTTTCTACCACTATATTTGAACTAAATTTTCAATACTGTTTGGTACTTGCATTCATAAATCATCCAGCTGAAATATTTTTTCTGTGTTGAACTGAAATCCAGTAACCCTTAGCACTCAGTTTCTATTCTAACCAAAATATTTTTGTGGATACTTTATATTCTTCTACAGACATCTCTGTATTTGTCCTTTTAATGGTCTCTGTTCTATCAAACTATGGAGCTGTGAGCTTAATGAACAGTTAGAAATCTCACGCTAACTCAGGCTCACATAGTGCACTCTCACTGTATTCCCTAGTGCTCTGCCTGTAGTTGCAAATCATGCTTCAGCAATGCCGGGTATCTGCGTACAGATAAACGGGTGATGGAGAAACCATCTGTTTATTTAGTCAAACATTCAATAATTGATAATTAGCATTATTGGAAATATTTTAGGATATTATTCAAGTATTCTCTTTGGCTAAGAAGTAATTCTTCTGCTGATAAAATAACCACCGGAAAGAGTTTGCAGCTCATGCTGTGGCTGAAGGAGTAGCAGGATTCTCATGTTTTATCCGTCTGGCGAATTCATAAATGTGAGAGCGAGCCGGCCAAAAGTCAAGCAGGCTGAACATGCAACTTTCTTATTTACAATAGTGCAGGGAGGAGAGATCTTTTTTTTTAAGAGTTATTTTCTTCTAAAGCATTGCGTGAATAAGGTATAATGTGTTTTACAATGACCATGTTTTTGAGTAACTGCAGTGTTGAAAACTTGCGGAAGACCAAGTGTAAATGAGACACTTTTTCACAGTGTGGTTAGTGAAGCTATAGCTGTAGTTGAACTTCAGAAACAGCCTCTTGGCAGTACTTTCAAAACATGTATAGTAGTGTTCAGGTGGATGCACAGCTACCTCTTGGAATGAGCTTTAGTAATCGAGTGAAAGGCTACTTTTCGGCAGCACCTTGGAATCGAGTTCCCCTTTCACTGCCACCTTTACATTATGTTCACTTACTAAGCTGCAGGAAACAAGTTACAAGGGAGGAAGCATTCTTTTGAAACTTGGAATTCAGCAGAAATATATTGGTACGATATGGCATCTGTTAGTGAGCAGATGTGGTAGGATCTTCAACTTTATTCATACAGATTACCAAAGAGATACCAAATATTAATGTCTTACGGCTGCCAGTGTGTATGCATCTGATTTTTTTTTTTAAGGTACATGTTTTTGTTTTAATCTTAAATCAACAGTTAACATTTGCAGAAAGATGGGAAAATGTTCCCATCCTTCTTCTGAAGACAAATAGTAATTTTGTTCTTTATCTGAGTCATATTAGGAAATATAGTAACTTTGGTTACCAAATGATTTCCTTCTGCAATGCATTCTTGGTTTTGCTTTCCTTGTGTTGTATGAGCAGTATTAAAAGATTTGGTTCACTCTTTAATGTTCATTACTAAAATTCAGGAATTCCTCCAAAATTTATTCTGCAAATGCCTTTTGAAGAGTATATGATTTTATTACATTTGATACTTAACAGCCTAATGAAGAAGGCATTAAGCTTCAAAAAGATTACATCTGTATAATGGCATGAAAATCTACCCACCTGATATTCTATACCTTAGAAGAAATCTGAGAATTAAAGGGGATATATTTTTGTTTTCAGTTGCCATGTAGTAAAGCCATTGTAGTTAGTGCCTTCCACCAACATTAAAAACAGTGTTAGGTAAGACAGTGGGACTGATTGCATGTAATATGATGTTGCTGGTTTCAGCATGTAGTTTTTGAAAGGATTTCTTGCTGTTTTTCAGAAACTAAACTAAAATTTAGCTTCAGAGCCAGAATTTTAGGGAAGTTTTCAAGAATTAGTTCGTAGATACCCTTGAGGGACAGATGAGTATTGTCCCATTTAACTGGGGAAGTTTTTTAAAAGTCCACTTTGTCAGACTCTTGTGGCAGAATACTGATATTATAGTAGAAGTCATCTAGAGTCTCTGTCTATCTGTTGCAGGTGAATTCAGGAACATGTCCTGAGTGTTCTTAAAATCATGAAACACGATGAAAAATGTTGTTTTGTTCGAGTTGTTACCAATTAATTTATTTCCTAATTTAAGAAGAGCATATTGAACAAATCAGAAACTCGGAGTGTCTTGCTTGACATGTGTTTGGGAGGAACTTTCATGTCAAATCTCCTTAGAAATAGTTTTATTAAAAAAATAGAAAAATTGTATGCAGCCTCTCTGAAAGGTGCAGACTTCTGTTACAGATGAAGCTCCTTATGCCAGCTAGTGTAGTACGGAGTGGGAAGTCTGAACCGGTTCTGTTCAGCGGAGTACTGTCATGGTATCCTAATCTGGTTGTGTCAAGGCTTGAAATTATGCTTCTTTTTTCACAGAGAAAACTTCTGTCTGTCAGTGTCGATTCTTCACAACTGTTGGTCTGTACTCGTAGGTTGTGATCCACAGGCATCTGCAAAACAGACATGACCCTTGGCGTTGTTCTAGTTGGTACTTCCAGATTATAAGCTTGCAGTAGTTCAGAGATGCTTATCAGGCTAGAACGTGTGAATTATTGGAAGTTAGTGTATTGTCAGATTGTGAATTGAGAGAGGGCTATGCTGTGCAGTCTTTGGTCTCTGATGTTTTGTAGTGAAATCCCGGTTTAGGCCACGTGTGAAAATGAGAAGGCTTTTTTCTCGTTTTCAGTGCAAATAGTTCTCTACATCTTAAAGTGGCAATGTAGTTCTTCAGGAAGGGTACCAGAATTCATAAACATATTTTTTAGGTCTAATTCGAGGAGTAATGCTGAAATTTATGACAAGATGTAGCTTCCTTCAGTAGTCTTGTTGCCTATCCCCTGAACTTCTTAACAGTTATTTTCACTAAAATAAACGGACTCGCAGATAAACTTTGTTCTTTTCAAGAAGATTCTCCAAGCTTTTGGTATTTTTCTAGCTCACAATCAGTTGTAGCAAAGGAAGATAATGTTATTCTCTGTATTATTATTGTCCCTTTGTTGCAATTAATGCCCACAAAATATAAATGACAAAATAGAATGTATGTATGCACCTCAGCCGTTTTAATGCCAGCTCTAGTGGATGTGTTAAAATTAACAAGAGGAAGGGTTAAAACTCAATTGGGAGACTCTGCGCTGAAGCAGCTGATATACATGTACATGGTTTTTTCTGCAGGCTGTGCTCTGAGGGCAATAACCTTGGGCGGCAAGGTGAAGAAGGTAGTTGAAAATATTAACTTCTTACCCTGGTGCTGTTAAATTTTCTAAAGGGTATTTGCAAAGACTGAAGGCATAAAAGCACACAAGGATTTTGTACAACACTAAATTGTTTTATTGAATTTACATGTATGGTTTTTTTTAAATAGAAATTGGGTTAAAGTGGTTATTCTAAACTAATGGAAATGAATAGTTCATTCCTGTTACACTAATGGGTATATAAAAGTTTATGTTTGAGAGTCCAAAATGAGAAAAATTACTACTGTTTAAAATTTTTTACTAGGAATAGTAATGCTTTAGGATTCTATCAAGAACATGAAGAAATCCATGTGCACTTCGGGAAATGTGTATTTTTCTTTCAGTATTCTGTGAAGAAACGATGGTAGTTGGGCTGTGGAACATAATTTAAAAAAAACTTTCCAAGATAGCTTAAAATATATCTAGGCATACTTATAACATATTTAGTTCTAGTTCTATTTAATGAAGTATGACCTTTGTTGTATATCAGTGAATTTTCCCAATTCAAGATTTAAAAACAAGCATTAAGACTCTTTTCCGAAGAAGAAAACTTTACAGAATATTTTTTTACCATAGCACATTTAACAGATATCTATATGTATATATGTGTAATTAAAAGTTCACATGCAATATAACTTATTTGAGCTATTTTCTGAAGAAAGCTTTAATTTTCTTTTTGTGTGTGTTTCTCTTTTGCACTTGTTATAATCATCAGTGATTCTTCTGCTCTCTGAAGTATTTCTTGTACTTTACATTTACAATAATTTATTGTAGATCTGGTGAATGTATGTTTAGTTACATACTTTTTTTTCTTTTCAACATAGGATTTTTCAAACTTCTAAGTACTCCACCATTGTCTCCATATTGGAAGCTGTTCAAGCAAGTGGACGTTGTCCTGAAGAGTAAGAAACTTCTTTTTTTCCTCTGTATTTTGAGGATTCACAAGGAATCCAGTTGAGGAAGGATCCAAAGCTATGTTTTGGATAGCCAGGAACTGAAGATAGTGTTTGTATTGTATGGTAGTTACAGGTGAATTAGGTTTCTTTTTTTACTATTGAACTCTTACAGGTAGGAGAAAGTACTTGATTGCAAGTTTTCAGTTTTTCTTTTTTTCAATTAAAGTAAATTTTTGAATGCTTCTAGTTAACTTATATGTTGTAAAACCTTTATACTATAACTTTATTTAGTCAACAAAGAATTTCTAAATAAACATAAGTTTAAGAACTAAAAAATGTATCGAAATGCTGCATAAAACCTGATGATTAAATGATTTCAAACGATTTTACTTTCCGGGTGGGAAGAGTCTTTTTGCATAATGGGAGCTGTATTAGCATGGTCTGAGTTCCAGTAGAGAAAAAGAGAACAACTAGAGGAAGTTTTCGGGCTGTTCTGATACAAAATTTGTGTCACACTACATCGATGGCAAACACGGAAGTATTTTAGCAACCTTCACCTAAGTATGTGTTTGGGCACGTGTTTATTGCTCATGAATTTTAGAAAAAAAAACACCTCTGTCTTTTATTTAAGTGTTCCTGTTAAAGCAGAGCAGAGACATTTGAGTTTAGCAACCTTGGGATAAGTCTCGAAGTTACTGAATAATAAAGGGATAAATCTAGTAACTGATGTACCAAATTAGTACCAAATAAAATTTTTTACTGGATCATTGCAGGCTTTTGATAGCTGTTATAACCAGTTTATAGCTTTGACATATGTTACAACATTGTCTCAAAGATGGGGGGAAAAGAAATAATCTTTGTGTTAAAATCTGTTTTTTAATGCAGTGATATATACTGCGTTATCTTTTAATGATGATCAAAGATTGAACTGTATTAATAGTCTTGCAAAGGTGTTTATGAGTTTGTTGCCAAGTAACTATATTTAGGGAGGGGGATATCTGTATTTATTGCAATTGGAGGATTCTCTGTGCCTTGGAGAGAATGATCATGTTTTTGAAAGAATAGCATTGTTCATGGAAAAACACACTGGTGTAGAATGTAAGTTCATATTTTGTTTGTCTTTAGAAGGTGTTTTTGTTTGCTTTAAGGCTTTTACACACGGGCCCTTGAAGCCTTTACTTTCACCCTGTGTGTGTTTTCGCTTAAACTGTAGTATTTTGAAGCCACTTTCACATTAAAAGAGAACCTCTTGAAGCTGAACACTTTTACCTAGCATCAAGGCAAGGAGTGGGATAAAGCTGTCGTGCAAGTATGCTCCCCTAGAAAGGCAGTGTCAATTCCTGTTGGCAAGTGCATCTGTCAGTATGTAATAGCATACTGCTGTTAAAAGATAGTATGTACAAGGCTTTTTGCATGGACGGGTTTAAAACCTAACCTCAAAACCTTTTGTTCTGGTCCTTATATTGTCTATCAAAGTTGCCCTGAAACTTTCAGTGTTCTGGCACAGACTCTAGCCTTCAACCTTAGAGATTTGTAGGGTTGTGTTTTTTTTCAGTGATCCTACAAAATGAGCACTTTACATGCCTATTTCAGAGGTTTATAAAATCGTGGCTGTTAGTGATTGTGAACTAATTCTGGTGGTGTTCTTTTTATGGCATCTATTAAATTTTTGAGTTTCAAATATTGCATTTGCTCCTGAAATTGGTTATTGTGTAACTTGTTCACCACGTTCCATTTTCAGATCTCTAGTGATGAGGTATCCATCTGGATTTAAAGCACATCTCTGAACTTCTCATTTCTTCACTTAAGAGACACGTTCTATATTCATGGGTAAGAATTTTTTTTATCTGGACTTTGGCCCTTTTCTTAAATATCTTGTAATATATTTTTAATTTAGAAGATTTCAGCAACTGATTTTTGTGTCTTACAGGTTAATCAGGTGCTTTTATAGCATAGGATTCTTAAGATGCCTATACTAGCTCTTAATTTTGACCCACGCTAATTGTTAAACTTTGGAATTCAGGTATCTAAGTATCAATGCTCTAAAATCACTCTAACTCTTAGTATTACAGATAGCGAAGCAGAATGGTGGTGTATAGGTAAATAATTTTGAAATTGGTCTGTGGTTTGAGATTCCAGTTCTCATATATACAACAGTTCTACAGGCTTTAATTGTGCTTCTGTCCATACGTTTTTTGTATTTGGAGTTTTGGGAAGAAAGAAACTCTGTCCTGGAAAGCAACGAAAGGAAAGGATCAGAATTTTGTGCAGTGGAAAACCCAGGAACACTTTTCCAATAATATAAACCATGTTTCATCTGAAGAAACCTTGTGGTATTACATACCCCCACTTCAAAACAGTAGAAACAAAACAACCACAAAAATTTCACTAGGAAATATACATTTTTCTAAATGCTACTAGTATTTTTAGTTTTTGTAGGTCTCTAAATAAAACAGCTAAGGTTACTTCATACATCCCAGGATTTGTTACAATGCCTTCTTTCCACGTATTAAGCAATGCTTGCTGAAATAACATTTTGAGACTTTGTAAATTTACCTTGAATTAAAAGATAATGTTAAAATGGATCTCTTGAAGTGGAATAATTGGCCAAAACAAAGTGGGACTTTGTGATACCGTGCTGTTTTAGACAGAGAGTTCTGCGATGTGCTTTCGCTTTGGTGCAGTTTTGCTCTGTTCAGCTTAAGCAGAGCTGCTCTCAATAAAGAAGCTGTCCCATTCACAGTGAAGGCAAACAGCGTTGAGAATGGTAGAAATATGTCTTCAGTTGCATTGGAAGATGGATTTTCTTTCCAAGTGAAATGCCATTTATCATGTTGACTGACTGGAAGTTTTATGAATGACCGTAACAACTGACAGTTACTGATTTTTTTTTTTTTTTTTTTTTTTCTTCTATAACCCTTTAATATTGATTTCCCAGAGGCGACTTGTGAGAAAGGAGGAGAGGTGGTAGAAGGGACTTGGTTCACATCTGGGGAGTAGAGGGGAGGAAACAGTTACATGATGTGTTTGGTGCAAGCAAAACCAGCGTAGGTATGAGAACAGGCTACTCTGAATTACTACGACAAGCACACACAAGCTAGTTTGCTCCAGTTCTGTGCTCTTACTCAGGGTTGGAACTCTGTCCATAGGCATGGACTGGAACCTAGTCCTGAGAATTTAATTTGAGACCATTAGTTTCAAATCTTTCTCTTCCTAATCTTCAAATCAACGTGCAAGGTACTTGTGTTATCTTTTAAATATTTAGCATGATGTTTGTGAACTCTGTAGCAGAAGAGAATTCTAAACAAAACTAATATGTTGAGGGTATAATTTCACTGAAGTTATGGCTCATTAAGTGACAACTAATATAAATGCATACCGGTGAAAAACAATTTTATAAAAAAATACATATAATGGGATGTGTATTTTTCTCTTTAATGAAATAGGCTACCCCAACAAGTATTTTCCTAATTTTAGGGATACCAATAAGAGAACGTGTATCTTTTCAATCTGTATTTAGCTACAGATACCATGATGCTCTTGTACAAAGACTTACTTCTTTCTGTTAGGGAGTAAAATAGTTCATCTCTACTAAATATGTCTAAATGTTCTTTTTTTTAATCTTCTACATTTCTGGGATTTTGAAGAAATTATGCTGTCCCTCTGTGCATTTTAAATTTAACGTATACATTGATCTTTAAATCTGTAATTGAATGTCATTTATATTGGTGCATCAGTGGGAAGTAACTTATGTATTATTTAATTTACTGCAGCTTTCTGAACTCTGCCAAAGCTTTAATTATAATTAAATCTGACAAATAATGGTAGTATAATTGTCTTTTTTAAATACTGAGGAGGGAATGTCTCTGTCATTTCTGAATACTATGCAGAAGTGATCAGGTTTTTGAGTATCTGTTTTTTAACACACTGTATTGCCTGACTCTTCTGACAGAGTGTTCCATCTGCTAATAGGTGGGCAAATCAAGCAAAGCTACAAACCTGTCATGCTATTGTGTGCTGCATAGAACTTGGCAAATACAATGATTTTTTCAGTTTCTCTGAAGCAAGACTCTGGCAGATCTCTAGTTTGGAAGCAAGTCTGTTGTGCTTGGTTGCATTGCTTTCCTAAAAAAACAAAACAAAACCAAAAAAACCCCAAAACAAACCACCCAAACCCACTTTGTGTGTAGGTAATGTAAAAGTCTGTGTTTACTCCTTCTGTGTCCTGTACCTGTAGTCTGGATTTCTGGTATGTCATGCTTTTATGACTTCAGTTTTAATTCTTTCTGTCTACTAGCTTGTCCCTGCTTCTTTCTGAGATACCTTCTGATATTTGGATAGGTGTTGTTTTAGCTTCTTTTGTGGAAAAACGGCCATCGAAGTCACTGACTTGCTGTTATCTATGGTACTGTCGCGCATCAGTCATGTGAAGCAGTGAGACGTAGTCCATCAGGGTATAAATGTGCGGATGTCGTGGTAGTGTGCTGAATCTTTACCAGATTTACTTGCTTATAACTAGAATAGCTTGTTTTCTGTTGTCAATCAAAAGTAATCAACAATGCAATTAATGAAATAAAATACATCAGTAGTTTTTATTATCCTGTGTTTTACTGCTACTTCCCCTTCAGTTTTTTGAGAGCAAAATTTGGTATCTTTGTTGGATTCTGTTTTCTTGTGTGTTCATTCTTTTTTGATGTTGGGTAAAATCTCTCTTTTTCTTCTGGTCTTTAAATCTTGTTCTGTTCCTTTCATTTCTGCTCTTGCTTGTGTTTGTAACTACAGCTTGTCTTCTTACAACTCAGATCTACTGCACGCTAACGAAGTGTAAAAGGGGATCATCTCTTTGAGACTTTCAGGCTATTTCTTCTTAAAGGGTTATTAAACTCTGATGGATAACCCAAGTGGAGAAAGTTTTTCTTTTTTCTTCCCCCTACCTTTGCAAGGGGTTGCATTAGCCCTGTTAACTTGAAACCCCAGTTCCCTAACCCAGATCGGGTATTGATTCATTCTTCTTGTACACACACTTAAGGAAAGGATTCAAACTGGGCTGAGTGTATCTAGTTTCATATCTAAGTGGTTTTGAATGTAATAAGTAAAATCTGAAAAAGATCTTGAAGTTTAAAAAAGTTAGAGCTGCAGTAGCAGTATGAGAGCTGCTTTTGCAGTTAAGAGAAACAACAATGGTGCATTCATTTATATTCTGTTTGTAATTGAAAAGATCGTTTTAGACCATACAGAATACAACATTGGTTTTAAATGAAAAAATGGGTTATGCAGAAATTAGTATTTTTTCATTCACTTGGACTTGTAAGATCTATTTTAATATAATTTTCCTCTTCTAATACTTTGGTTTAAGTCTTCAATTTAAAATAGATCTCTTAATGTTAAGAACTAATAGATTAAAGAAAGTATAGGTGTTCTGTTTAATGACTAGTGACCAGATAAAAATAACAAGAGCTAGGAGATGTTTCTGTTCTGATTCAAGTATGCTTGCAGAATAATTTAATACTTCTTGGAGAAAATGCTATGTTTTGTGTGAGACATATGATACAGTTGGCAATCTGAAAAAAAATTACTGTTTAAGTTCTAGATGCTTTAGCATATCTGAAGATGGCAAACCCTGAAATGTGTTTCACCTTAACTTGCGGGATACTGTTGATGACTTTAAATGAGGAATGTGATCTGGGTTTGTCTAGCTTTTAACTGAAAAAAAAAAAAAAAAAATCACTTTTTTCAGAACAATGAGTTTAATGTTTGATTCTGTTATATAGTTTCGTTAGACAGTAGTTACCCTGTAGTAGTAGTTCCTGTTAATTAGTTCTCTGCATAAAATAAGCTTGATTTTTATGAAGTTGAGAGTTTAAAATACAAAGGGAGCATCTAAATGCTAGTAAGAAACATGGCTGAATGCCTCTAAGATGTGTTAGATTTTAAAACCAAAACAAACCCCACTGCAGTAAATTCTAAATTTATTGGGGTTTTAGTTGTTTGGTTGGTTGGTTGGTTGGTTGGTTTTTTGTAGTCTGTAAATATTGTTAAAGCAATTCTAGCTGGTAGGAGGCAGTAACTTCTTAATTTCAAGTACCACAACCATAGTCTTCCAATTGCTTTCTCAGGTTGTACCTCTGTTGTGCTCGTTTTGTTGTCCAGAATTGGTCCAAGTACTTCCTAGACACTGATGTTGTAGAAGGATCTTGCTAACTTTAAGCTGGGTAAAGATTAATATTAGATCAGTATACAATAATGGTAGATAATTTAGACATAAGAAGTATTAGAATTAATGCAGTTTTTACAAGAAGTGTAATTTCATCACAAATTCTCAATCTAAGAGGGCACAAAGATGGCAAATAGTATTTACTAAGAGAAGCCAAACTTCAGATTGCTGTAAAATGGAATTAGTTACCGTAACAGTGATTGCTTGCGGTGAAATACTTCATTTTGACAAATCAGAGATTTTCCTCCTTGAGGAAGAAGGAAGAGCTCTTTTTCCTCTCTGTTCTTTTAAGACTTTCTGCTTCTTTTACTGTAGTTTGCTTTATTGAATACGGATTCAAAACTCGTTTCCCCATTCTGATTAAAATGCAGCTCCAATAGGAGCTTATATTCCATGAGAAGTATTTTGGAGTTGGTACTGTGAAACGCAGGCTGCCATTGCGTTGTTAAACTCATAGTTGTCAAGTCCCAATAGATTAAGTCTTCAAAACGTTCATTTGCTTGAATGCTCTTCTGCCTGCTGAAGGTGAAAGTAAGTCCAAAATTCAAGTTGGTACCACAGATCTGTTTATGGAAGGAGAAGGCTGGGTAAAAGTGTGTTAAAACAGAATTGTAGCTACAGTCACTTTCTGTATAAGAGGGAGTAAGAACATGGAGAAGAGTATTGCTTACAGAGAAGAAAGGATGTAATAAAGTTTTCATGTTGGAACTTTTTCATTTTATTAAGATGCATGTGAGGAGGTAGGGTTTTTTTAAGGAAGGGACAGAAAAATAGTACGTGTACCAATTAAGTTCAGATATGCATCACAATTTGCCTGCCTACATGTGCCTTCACAATTTGCAAGCTGAGAATCTAATGTTTTCATATTCAAATATAGCAGAGAGAAGCAAAAAGGACAATTGCTCAGTAAATTTGGAAGATGACTTTGTGTGAAAGGCTAGCTTCTCCAAATCAAATATCCTTGCATTTCCAAGTTAAGATTTTCTTTGGGATGAAAAAACGTGATGGTTTTTGTTGATGCTGAAGAAAAAGGCTAGGGGTAAAGGTACTTCTCTGGTCGAAAAACGAGGTGTCTTAGCCTGAACACAACTCTGTTGCAATCTACAGTGGTATCCTTTCCAAAAGAGATTTGGGTTGGGTTTTTTCTCACTTTGTGATCCCCTCTCTGCAGAGAAGCTTTGTTCAGAATAAATTTACATTGGTCTAATTAGCCTAGAGAGGTTTCGTATATGTCTAGCCTTTGGATTTCTCAGTTTGGAAGTTCATCTGTGCTATCCCTCTTGCTTGGATTGTTGCAGTGAAGCTGACATCTTCAGGTTATGTTTCCTTTTTGTACCTGCTAAGATTTACTTGTTTTATAAAGCCTTTGCATTTTAAAAAGAGATTTTGTATTATTTGTCTCTATTTCATTCCTTTTTTCCCTTATGCTGAAAGAAAGTAGGAAAAACTAAGGCGAAAAGTGTTTCTTGGGTTTTGAGCGAAGAAGCAAATTTGTGGGAGGCAAGCTCAGAGTTAGTGTGTTGCAACTGCAATGAGGCCAGCTGTTATGCGTGCTTTTTTCACATTTTTACTGTAAAGGTACACAGTTGATAAAACACAAGGAGCTTGTCTGGTATGTGTTTTTTTCAGTACAGGGTTGTTTTAGTCCTGATAGTTCTAGACTACTATGTAGTTAAACTCAAGAGCATGTGTAGTAGTTAATTAGCATAGAGTAGCTGGCCCATGTGTCACATTATGTAAAAACAAACAAAATCCCATCCTATTATATCTCAATTGCTGAAGGTGGAAGAAATCTCTCTTTTTTTCTGTTTTTTCAAGTTAGCACAAATTGAATAGCCTTCCTTACAAATCACAGCAAAATATGGTTTATCTCTGGGCATAACCAAGGAGCTATATGCAGGCTACTGAGCTATTTGTAGTCAGTCTCAATATGTAAACTTCTGTTGATACAGGCTTAAAATTTGAGTTTTAAAGTCCTTGACAGCCTGGAACATGACATTTTACATGTGGCTACCATAATTTCCATCAGTCTTTCCTCAGATGGGGGTTTCTTTAATTAGATCATTTCTTCTATGTCTACAACATTCTGTCCTTGTACTTAATCTGACTTGGTTGTCTTCTCTTGGCTAAAATGGTTCTCCCCTGACTTATCTTTTGAGTTGAAATATTCTAAGTTGAGAGGTGATTGTATTAGAAATGTTACAAAAACCTATGCCACATCATCTGCCTGGATTTTGATGTTGGTTTATCATCTGTTGGAAGGTGCTTGATACTGACAAAGTGATCGTTATTTTGCTTTTAATCATAAGCAGACAATTTAATTGGTTAGAAGATAATGGGGTCTAATTTATGTTAGTGCTGCTTTTAACTTGGGACTTCAGGAAGTCCTAACTTCTAAGTGATGAGTTGTACATTTATCATCTGGAATCCGTGGCTGCTTTGCTATGCTAAGCTGTCACCTTCCTGAGCTTCTGTGCCTTTTTATAGCATACTTGTTCTCTATACTCATAGTAATTAACACTCATACCAGTCCGTACTTGATAGGTGTCACTGGTTGGTGTCTTTGTGTGACACAGGGTCCATCAACCTTTTTTCTGCGTAGACCAGAAGTTTAATATTCAGAATGAATCACAGAATGGTCGGGGTTGAAAGGGACCTCTGTGGGTCATCTAGTCCAACCCCCCTGCCAAAGCAGAGTCACCTACAGCAGGCAAACCCTCAAAAAGGTTTATTAATTTATTAAAGTTGGGCTTTATTCTGCCTGTAGTCACAAAAATTCCAGTGGACTAGGAGTATAAACAGAACAATTTTTCATCAGCTTGTCAGAGTAGTTTGTGCTTAATAGGTTCAATAGGAACCTTGTCCATAAGACAATATTTCAGATGTCCAGGGTGTACATTTCTGGAAGGATCTTGTATTCATTTTATTCTTAGGAGAATTCATTAACAAAGAATTGCAATTGAAATGGAGGCGGAGAGCATAAAGGTAAGCTTTAGCAGTAGGGTTAGGAATGAAAAGCTGTTACTGTTCTCCTTCTGGTAGTTAGATACATGTATTGACAGGAAAAAGGACTGATTATTCTGTGAAGATGCTCTTTTAAAGTAATTGCTCCTCTCTTTTAGGGGCTTACTAGTTATCTGGGGAGGTGAACTGTCATGGAGACATGTTTTCATTCATTTCCCACTCTGTTTGATTACACTATGAATGTGCAAGTTTTTAGACTGAAGTTAAACTAACCATCCTTCTCAGCTCCCCCTGCCTGAAATCCCTGATTGCAAACTGTAATTTGTTGGTGATCGCTCAGTGCTACTATGAATAAATAAAAAAGAAAAACAATTTGTGTTTCAAAACTAGAGAAGTGTGTAAACTCTGTTGAACCAAAAGTATTTCTTTTCCTGTGCTTACCTTTGACTGTATCACCGTGTTCATCTGCTCCTCTTTCCTTCAAATAAGAGTTCTATTGTGTCTTTCTCAAGTAAGATAAGGTGGAATTTGTCAGAATCTTACTTAATGCAACGTAAATAAAAGAAAGTGTATCTCATCTTTTACTGCT